AAATAGAAATAGGACAGGTTCGAGGACTGGATCTAAATATAGGATACGAATAGTGCGAGGGCACGATTGGTTGTGTGCGGGGCGGCTCGGTCGTCGTAATCGTCGCGTTCGCCGCCCTTCGTCTTCGTGTTTCGCCGAACCGGCCCGTTCGCCGCAATCTATACACACCTAAAACGCACACCTCCGTGCCATAGAAACGACCCACGCACCCGAGAGAAAACGGACCCCCGTGTTCATTCATATCCTGCGGAACGCGCGTCTGGAGAGTTTCTTACCGCGATATGTGACCGGGACAATTGACTTTTCTTCATTCCGGCCGACCCCTTTATCTCGCCATTACGCCCCGAAAACAATAGATTGGGTCGCGGACTCGATTCCCCTCGATCGATAACGCCTGTACACATCCAGAGGCGACGCACATGTGCCACCCTGGTGTAATCGATGAACGAATACCCGACTGTTTTCTCGAACATTTTCTACCCCGATTCGATCAAAAAAGAAAGGACTTTGCATAATTCTTTCTCTTATGCGAGGAAAGACGGTATAACAGAATTGGACAGCATATTTTAGGACACGGTAACCGGCCGACAAGCATAATCAGGTCAATTTTGTGTGTGCAGAAAGTTTGCGAGAGTTCATAGAAGGTCACGAGTTAACTCTTTGGGGCACGGTGGGTCTAAAAATGTCCCATATTTTTGGTAATGCATGGTGGGACAATTTTTAGATCCGCTTCGAAATATTGCAATAGGGACTATTCGATTACTACATTATATTATGTAATTTCTTTGTTAATAAAAATATACCAATACTGTTTAATTTAAAACGCAATAAAATTTCTGTGCGACATGAGTCTACTTTTTATTTTCTGGAATTTTGTGCTCCAAAGCGTTGACTCGTGTTCTTAGGCCCAGAAAAAATTACCGGTCAACGATGAGCTAAAATAATTGATTGATATAATTGATAAAAAATTAAACTGTTTCTCGACCAAGGTTTTAGAACTTGATAAAAAGAAAGAAAAAGAAGAAGAAAAGAGTGCTGCGTGCTTCACTTTCACGGCAAAGAATAAATCATATCTCGAACCTAATCACGACTGATCGCAATTTCCCGTCTCAATTCAAAGCCCGTCCCCAAAAGACTCCGCGCCGTACTTCGGTCGTCTCCGGGTCGCAATTTTCTTGAGAAATGAGCAGAGCGCGAAGTCGCGCGAACGCGAGATCGTCGCGATACGACGCGGTGTTAGGCGACGACGAGAGTAGGTGGAGAAAAGGAAGTGGCTAGACGGCCGCGGATTTATGAGAAATCGCCGGAGCGGAAAGGATTTTCGATATAGTGCCTTTGTCGCGCCCTCGAGAGCGTCGCGCGAGAAAGTTTAGCCTTGTGGGGTGGCCGGGGGTGTTCGCGCGGGGGTGTTAAGCGAATCAACGTGCATATTCCGTATGGAAAGCACACGCTTCCGTTCCTTCCTTTATAGCGTGATTTCGAGGCTCGTATAAAAAGGCGGCCGGGGCCGGAGGAAAGGCGGAATATTTTCATTTCTTCGGGGGCGGCGTTGCCTCTCGCGTTCGCCGCGTATAGACGGCTATAAATAATCGGCGAGAGAGCGCGAGCGAGCGAGCGAGAGAGAGAGAGAGAGAGAGAGAGAGAGAGACGCGTTTCGCGAAATACTTTCGCCGGAGGAGCCAGATGGTTGGCAAACCCCGAGCGAGAAAGAAAAGAAAAAAGCTGGCCGAACGAACGAACGAACGAACGGCAGCAAAAAGGGTGGGGAGGGGAAACGGATGGAATCCGCGTGAGAAGAATCAAAGAGGAGAGGACAGGAGCCCGTGGAAACGTTAGGCGCGTTGCGTATCGGCGGCGACGTTTTCGGCTGCGATCACGCTCGAGCGCGCAGAGATCGACGAGACCAAAGGAAACACGCGACAGTCAGCCAGCCAGAAGTTTACGCTTGATTTCGGCCTGTAACTCAATACCCGGGGCCGAATCCTTCGAAGATCGGGCGCGACCGTAACCGAGATCTAAGTCGCAGATAGCGGACCCCGCTTGCTTCGATCTCCCCCACGTGTTTTAGTATACTTTGATGCTACCGGTTATGGCGAAACGTCGAGCAGAGCTCGCTTTGATGCGCCGACGTCTCGCGGATCGATCGCGACAATGTCGCCGGCGATCGGAGAACGAAAAGAGAGAGACCACGGTACATAAATCGGCGCTTTTATTCATCTTTGATTCGCGCTGCTTTCATCTTTCGCCGATTCGATCGAACCGATCGCGCGCTTTTATTTAGCAACAAAGATGTGTTTCCACGCTCCGTGAAGGAACAACGGACGCCTCGAGGAGAGACGCACAACACAACAAGCAGCTCAGAGAGGCTCGAGAGAACTTTCGGTCAACGGGATTGCGTACGCGGAGAGGAATCCGCTTTGGAACGGGAAGCGATTTTCTCCGTGGATCCGCGCATCGAAGATCGATCGCGGGAATAAAGCGTTACATAAAAATAACGCGTGCTGCCGCGCGCGTCGCTGCGACAAGGTCGACGCGGCCGCTAATTGCACGCCGTTCTATCGTCGCGTATTCAATTTTTGTTGTTGCGTGAATCTTTGCGATCCGCGAGAGCCCGCGTCAATTTCGAGATTAAAGCGCGCGCGACACCGTTCTACTACGCGAAACGCGCGCGCGGCTCGTGTGTTTTCTCGTTTATTATTCTTATCGAGCATCCCGTCCCGCCTCCCCGGAGGCTTTCTGCCTCGAAAGAGACGGCTCCCCCCCTCTGCGCGGGGGGGACAGAAAACGAAAACGAATCCGTTGCTGCATCCGGCGTTATCGCTCTGGCTTTCGGTGTCATGGAAAATGACAGAGAGAAAGAGAGAGAGAGGGAGAAGGAGAGCGAGAGATCCGCGCGTGTCCTGCACACGCTTAAACCCTTTCTTTCGCGGGAAAGGAACGCGAGAGCGAGCCGCGCAATTTACCGCGAGATACCTAGAGAGGTGAATAGGTCTGGTAACTTTATCTTTCGCGGTAACCGCGGTTCGAAAGAAGCACCTCTCCTCTTATCGACGTCATTGAACGCGACCACCGAGGCCAAGAGGAGCCGAGCGCTGCCGCCGCCGCGTGGGAGAGAAACGTGACCAATTTGATAAGGGATCGCGATAATTGTATTCTTACACGTAGACCTCACAGGGAGACGAGCCATCCGTATCGTGACTTCCAGGCCAATTATTGTTTGTAACGAGCCGGCCTCGTACACCAACCCCTCCTTCATCCCCACCCGGTCGACTCGATAGAAATCACGGAGCCGAAAAGTGCTGTGCCTAATTGCGGGGGCAGCGCCGTGAGAGAGAAACTTTCGCCTTTTCGTCGAGATCGATGCTCGATTATTGTATGCAATATTGAAAAAAAGTGTAATTGTTTTTCGATGAGAATACACTCGTTCGAACGTGGCGGATATTTCCAGTGAAAAATGTGGGGCGATGCTCGTTCGTTTAAAGCTCCGTTATGGGATGCTTAAACACTGAAACTAGCGAGCCTTAAACGCGACAGATATACAGGATTTTATAACAATAATAACGTTAGATTTATGTAAACTTCGTGTACGATTACTATTATAGTGTATGCTTCGATAAAGAAATATATCTAAAAATTGCTCGTACAGAAACATTTTAACCCTGGGGGGGGGGGGGGACATTTTTTTTTTTT